GGATCTAAGGTCACAGACATCAGTACTGCAGCATTTCTTACCGCTGCAACTTTTTATCTCTCTATAATCTTCTCATCACATCATGCTAACTCTATCACAACTAGCCATGAAGCTAGAAGTATTGCGACAGCTTGTGTTTCTTTAAATTTCGCCAGCTTCTGAATGTGCGGGTGTTTAGTTGATCGAAGACGTAGTAGTAGCCTTTCCCCGTGTTGTCATAGGCCCGAGGTTGCTCTCCTTCGAGTTGAGGCCCTTGAGATGGCTTGCTTCTGTGTCTCGCCGTTCTTGACTGGATTTTTAAATTTGTGGTGTCTAGAACAGGCTAGAGACGTGATGTAAGGGGGCTCCTCTACAATCGCTCTATGTCTTGGGCCGCTCATTCTAAAATTTATAACGGGCAGATCATTCGGATGGTCTATCATTCCTTCTCCGTATGGCTGTAGATCGACTATGCTTCTGTTGGCCGCCATCTTCACTTTCGGACTCAGTTGGTTGATGGCTCGGTTGTCTATCTTTTTGCACTAGAATATCCTTCGGAGAGACTAAATGCGGTCGTGGAGGCAGAGAACATCGATATAGATGGTATTTCGATTATATAACTTGCATTTACTTACGCCCTCGACGAGCTCCTTAGTAGTGTAAATATAACCCCAGACCTATGCCGAAATGGTAGGAGCTGAAGTTGTGATTTTGGGTAAAGCAATGTCCATTGTATCGAAAGCGCACCTCGCATTGACTCAGGCGCCAACTAGTATGCGCCCACTCGGTACCGTAGGCAAAACTACCTAGGTACTTACGCTTAGCACAATAGACGAATTTCATGACATGCTTCGGGGTAATCTTAAAGCATCAATCCCTTGGTAGAGGCTGACAACATCGGCCACCGCGGGAGTCGACGTGCTAATTTTCATACAAGTTACTATTCGAACACACTACAGTGCCGTTGGCGGCCATTTCTGGAAGCTTACAATCGCTATTAGTACTAATTGACTTGCAGAACGTAGAGCAGCGAGATTTTTTCGGAGAGGGACGACACCCTATCCGCCGCCCGTAAAATAGTTGAATAGGGCAAACTAATAGCATGATGATATTTCAAAATACCATTTGCCTGCATGTGACGGCTAACAGGCTCGGCTCCATGATAAAATGTCTAATTAAAGATAGTACAGCTCCGGTAAGAATCAAGCGCTCAGGCAAGAGCCTCGTTTCCATAACCGTTTGCCTAGCAATGTTAAAAATCATTTCCCGCCATCGCTTATCAAGATGAGAGCATGGAATAGTCACCTATTCTAAAGAGCAGTCATGGTGCCCTGTATTCCTCCAACAACTTCACTGCTGTTTATATGGATTAAGCACCCTGATAGACTGTCTCGCTGCTGACGATGGAGAGTGCAACTAGATCCATGTTGAGATGAAACTCAAGCAACCTGATATTTCAAACAGCGTTAGTTTGATCTCTTAAAGCCAAAGAGATTCAAAACAAATTACTGAGAGCTAAAAGAGATTTCTAAAGTAATAACTTAGTCGACCTGTGAAATTAGATATTCCTCAACAAACTTTAACTTGGATACCACAGTGCTTAAGGTGCAAGTATGTGGTATACGCTATGCTTGCAGCCCTTGTCACTCACCAATCACTAGAGTTTAGAAGACAGCATAATGGTAGAGGCAAAGAATGGAATACTACACCTTGCTTCTATATCAATGAGGCCCTTATCCTTTGCGGCATATCCAAGTGTAATTTAAAGTTATAGTCATTTGAAGATTGACCATTGCTAAGTTGGGAGGCAGGGAATCGTGACCATAGGTTTTATTCTACTTGGTAATCTCAAGAGATCAATGCCCCTAGACGTCGCAACCATCACGACTGCACGGGAATGAGATACACATAGCTGGTGCGGGACTTGCTTCAATCCGATCCATGCATTTTCTGGGCTGAGATACACCCAGGTCCAAAAATGCCATGCCAAGGCTGATAAACCATTGGTGCTACTAAGATTAGTATAGGTCTGCTTTGACGGTGATACTTTAGACCTTATTGTTGAAGTCCTAAAATGTATCTTAGAAAGGGAGAGGGGGAGGAGAAGGTAGGGGTATCACTGCATATCTAGCCACGCCGCAGGGGAGCGTAGAACTTTTCGGGAGGGTATAAATTCAGATGTGACTCTCATCACATAAGCATTTGCGAAGCAGGCATATGCTCAGTGGCCGTCAGGAAGACCTGCCTTCTACACCTGTGAGAGTTATAGAACTCCTTATTTGTCCTGCGGTGCTTATTAGACGCGCGCACGTTCAGCCGCATTAAGTAGCGACTATTGAATCAATGCAGGATACTTTGGAGAAACTGTAAATTATGACATCAATTGGTGAACAGCTAACAAGATGCAAGAAATTGCCGCATTAAACCCCAACTGCTTTAGTCGCATTTTGAATACGCCAACTTGACTATTCTGCTTTGACCGCGCCTCTTACTTTCTAACGAACGGATTAAGTCCAACACAACAACCCTTAGCCGATATGGCAATGTGATATCATTGTCCTAATGCTCGAGATTGTCCAAAGCACCAGCCAGAATGAATATACATTAAACAAAAAGAAAAAAATAGTGAGATATTCTAACGAAATCAAGCAAAATATATGGACGAACGGGGAATTGAACCCCGGACCCCTCCCAGACGCCCTATTCTAACTGTCGTAGAGATGCGAAGGGAGTATCATACCCCTAGACCATTCGCCCATGTTGATTTATGGAGAACTGATTGTCCGGCGCTCCATCGTGAGACATATCGTACCTAGGTAGCTTAGACAAACAGCGAAGTGTCTTGCCTGTCAAGGGACCGTTGCCAGGGCTAAACAAAACTGTAGCATAATTGATTAAGGTCCTTCTAAATTAAGGCCATCTGGATGATTGGTCATGGATTGTTGCACTCATTAACTACACTGGCTCTGGTACGGGTATGCTGAAAGACCAATCTTTTGTGGTTTTTCAATTGATGCTGGTCGGGGACTAGCGGACTTGCAGCTCCGGTATGTAGTATTGCCGTGCATCCCCCACGCCCACTTCAACCGTTCAAGACAATGGCCGTGAATAGTCCAACAACCCAAGAACCTTGTAATTCTTTAGCAAATAAAAAATAAATAAGGGGGGGATAGCTAAAAGATTCTCGACTAGGGCCTGATTCGAACAGACGCTCCCGAAGGAAGTAGATTACACGTTTTAATTCGAGTCTACCGCGTTAACCACTCCGCCACCTAGCCATCATATTTCCGTTTTCGGATGTACACGACTCTCCTTTATCTACTTATCACCAATAGCTTGCCCTGGACTTAGCGATCATGTAGGAGAGAGTATGTAAACTTGCTTAAGTAATGTAGAACAACTAGTATAAAACGTTCAGAATTAAAAAGGCTTAATATTAGGTTGATGCGCGTACGTGGCTTCGGTTTATGGTATAGTGAAATCGTAGTTCGTTGGGAAAAGAAGGGCGACGAGTAAGCACCGCGTCGCAGTCGTAGGTCGCCGCTAAACTACACTTCGTTATAACCAGGCTAGCTGTTTATCGAATAGCAAGATAAGACCTTACATATAGGATAGTGAGCTGTGATTCTGCTTTAATAATAGCTTCACCTGTCCTAGCCGCCTGGCTTCCTCGTTTCCTTCTTGCCCTCGCGCCCTCGTATTGCTGTCTCGGATAGATCAGAACATAGGGGAGGCAACGGGACGAGGCGGGAAACCTCTGATAATCCATAGGCTCTACGACCCGATCATATGATTATTTACAGAATCACGAATATGCCTACGAATATGCAGTTCGCTAGACCTAGGGGCTGACCTAGGTCCGTGTGACATCCATCGAGCGTACATACTGGGCATATCTTCAACACGCAGTAAACATACCAATATTGTCTTCTGGGACTTTTGCTACCGGAGAACCGCTAAATCTCACGCTCGGGCCTACCACCCGGACATAGCTAGTGACGCTTCTCTTGTCGGAGTGGGATCGATTCCACCTGGAACGATAACGTTTTTCAAGATTTGATTACTGGGTAGCTTCCTTATCACCGGCAAGCCTTCTTCATGAATTTCAGTATATGTGATTAAATAAGCAGTGATTTACAACAGGCGAGGATGTGCTATACCCGGCCAGGGAAAGTAAACACTTTATGCTGGCGTCTTGTGTTGCTATAAATCTTCCCGAGAGTTTCTTTCAACACTGATATATCCGTTGAAGCCCCTGCTATGACTAAGGATCACTAGACTATCCGGTTATATTTCCCCTAATTGTTCGGGAACGGACATAACGGCTAAGTGTCCTGCCTCCTTCATTCCACCTTGTAATAGGCTTGTATCTGGTCGCAAAATCTGAGGTTAAGTGCACAGGAAGAACTCGATAATATTTACCTGGACGAGAGGGACTTTGAGGCCCTTTACTGGATAACTTAAGTAGTAGGTACTTATGGCTTGCGGACACGGGGCGCTGATCGCAGTAAAAGATTATAGAACGATATGCTTTCTGGTAATAATAAGCGGTACAAACTTCTGGCATGCCTGTCCTTAACAGTTAGAAAACAATTACTTTTAAATGCTGGAGATGTCCTGGGATTAACTTATAGGTCGACTGGTAATATGCCTCTCCTAAGCCTTTTAAACAGGCCTCCTTTTATGCTCTCCTGGGCGACATCTTTGCTCAATGAGGCGGTCCAAAGTTCTAGCAAAACATGTTCAATGGCTTCGATCTTGCTATATATATAGGTAAACGGTCGGGTCCTCGCAGCAAAGTCTTGTTTATAATCAGGTTGCTATTACTAGTTATTACCTGCATCACCATCTACTCTTGCGCCACCTGGCAGGAATCGGTATACCTAGGTACTTTCACACAACTTACTTAGAAGATAAGCAATGCAACAAAGCCCTCGATATTAACGAGTATTGATCCATTTAGAAACATGTGTATAGTTCCCATTAAGGGGCGCAGATGTCAACAAGTTGATGTTAAGATTTCTCGATTGGTCTAGTGGTAAGGATACCTGCTTGTCATGAGACAATTCGCAGGTGGCCGGGGTTCGATTCCCCGATCGAGAGAGCATTTCCTTTTTCTTTTAATATCTCTTCCTAGTATTGGAAAAAATAAGCTCTTGCTCGGGTTTGTTCTTTTATATCTCTATTCTAGTGTTGCTGTTGGTTATGTTATTGCAATTTTTGCTTACGGACGATGGGATAAATATAGGTACGTTGAAGCAGACCACCTTGCAACTCATCAACAAGTCCTGATCGTTGCAGGCCGATGCAACGTAGGTAAATCAAACAACAGTGTACCAAATTTCAATTAAAGACCTAGGTGATTATAACATGTAATAAATATATCTCTACAACGGCCTGGCCACAAATTGAACCTCGAATTTGCTTCCAACAGAAGATGTGTATAAAGGGGAAGAGCCAAAGACAGAAATCCGCTCACGCATGCTTTGGGAATGTTCAACGAAATACCTAAGTCTGCAGGTTACTCGATCCTCTTCTTTCCCTCCTCCGCATTGAGGTATCTCGCCGTGCTCAGTCCGCGCTCGTGTCTTGCGACAAAAGAGCCGATCACCTTGCCTTTCCGGATCTTTCCGATCGTCTCCTGGTAACCCTCTATAGCCCACGGTCGTGGATTCAGCTTTGGCCAGTTCACCTACGATAGAGCATCAGTACACACGTCTGAATCAAGTCGATCGATTGACAATCGTCAGTGATTAGTTTGTCACTTACAAATAGCATGCCATTCTGAAGGATAAAGTTCAGACACCAACCGCCTACTACTAGCCAGAAAAGGATGAATAGGCGCATAGGTAGGACGGTGGAATCCGGCAGGCGTTTGCTAAACAAGCCCAAAAAGACGAAGAATATACTAAAAGCCAGGATGTAAGGGATACTCTGAATGAGAATCGGCCTACGGTCGGCGAATATGAGCGACGAGCCGATATTAGCGGTGGTGGGCTCATAAGCGCCTAGGAACAGGTCATAAGCGTCCTGCCGGGGCCCGTCTCGAAAGTTGTTCAGATAGTATCGAGTCACGGCAATATTGCCATCCTGGAGAGTCCCTTGTCTGGTACGCTTGCCCAAGCGTGTAATGTCCGTTTTCATGGCTCCAGTGCCAGCATATGCTTTGGACACTGTGTCGGCATTATCTGCCCACAGGTTGCGGAAGAGGAACTCGAAAGCTGGGTCGGTCGTAGCAAAAGTTTCCCCTCGTTGTTGCAGACCCAAGTCTACGAAGATACGATCCAGAGTCCATCTGGCCAGCATACTCTGGACCACATTTGTACGGTCGAGTGAGTCCATGCAGTTCGTCCGCACGACACTCGTCTGGAAGTTCCTCGTTTCAAGTCCACCATTTGCAGGCATATTAACACCTCTGAAATACTGCTGTGCTATTAATGCATCATGCAACTTATCAACCAGCATCATGGCACGATGCATCTGGAGCCCCTTGGTCTCGTGGTGGTAGTCGAAATAAACGTAGTGCAAGCGGTCAAACTCTTGCTTAGTTGTCTCAGACTCGACGACATGGAACTTCTCATCGGTAATATGGTCTTTACTGACGGATTCATTTTTTGAAGTTAGCAGCATTTCCACCATCTGTTCGTAGGCCTCCTTCATACGCTTTTCACGACCTTTTTGATTGACCAGATTGACGAGGTAATTGTCACCATAGATGCGAATCTGCTCGTCGAAGTGTTTCTTGGCGGCGGATAAGGCAGTTTCAATTCCGCGAACCTGAAGTTTCGGGGTGTACTTGAGAGCATTGATCTCGGACCAGTAGACGGGGATACTTCCGCGGGTTTGGACATAGGACATGATCTGCATTTCCCGTCCCTCGGAAGCGCCGAACTTGCCACTTTGCATGTCGGTGCTTCCTGCGTATCCGCCCAGACCACCACCTGTGTCATTCAAAACTACAACCTGCTCGGTTTCATTATAATTGGCGGCGTGCCCTTCCTCGTCGATACCTCTGGTAAAATATCTGGTTCCAGCTCGGTATCGCGACTTTCTGGTGATAAGAACAATGGTCAAGGGGGTGCCCTTGAATTTGGTTGGCCGGATTTCCAGTGTACCCCATATCAATGGTAGGATGAAGGGGTCGGCGGCTGGCTGCGGACCCTGCTGCGACCGATTTCCCATCTTTCTGAAGCCGATTAGATCGGACTGAACGAATCGGTTCCAGAAGAAACGATCGTCGGCGCGCATCCAAAGAGGGGCAGAGTTGTCGATAGAAGCTTGCCTCTGGAAGCTGTTGGTGAGATCGATCGAATAGGAGAAGTACATGGGGCCAGTCATGATAAAGGTCTTGAGGAGAAACAAGAACTGGTCCTCGTCAGGGTCGCGGATCTGGCGTTCTCGCATCGGGAGGAAGTCTGTCGAGATAACCTTGTACACCATGTGTCCCTTGAGGCGGCCCACGGGTTGGGCTTTCGTGATGACGATGACATACTTGTCTACCTCCGCTAGTCAGTCCCCAATTCAAGGTTGTTGTAGGAGAGGAAACGCTACCTAGCCTCAATCGGATAAGTCCTAGAATACCGGCTATACTAGAGACACGGGCGACACGTTTGCTGTTGACGGAGGCGGTTTCGCTCAGACGGACATCACCGGTTGGCCTGTCGATAACCAGGGCCGGTGCGGTGGGCGAAGAAGGCGATGTAAAGGTGTAGGACTCGGCGGCAACGTGGACATTAATGTCCCGGTACGGAAGCGTCATGATGGGCTGGACAATAGCACGGTCCGGCGCACATTCATAGCTTCGGGGAGAGACAGGCCCAGAGCGGGTTGATGGTCGATGTGAATCGGGACACGGCCAGGCGGTCTCTGGGCTGGCAGCCTCAGGAGATGGGACCGGTCGAGAGCACTTCGTAGCACTCGAGCTGTCACCGCACTTTGGACTTGGTGGTAGTGAATTAGATACGTGTTTGCCCGATCGATGAGGGCTCCTGAACCTCTAAGCGCCTAAATGTGTATATGTCAAAGTGCAACCTTGGATATTTCTATAAGCCACATAGCGTGAGATTTGAGCAGATGAATGATGCATAGGTACTTAGACTAGTACGTACTTGGTAGGTACCGTACAGTATATTCACATGGTTGCCCCACCACCTGCTGGGCAAGGGGGCAGAAGCTCCCCACACAGTGAGTAGTTAGATCAAGAATCAAATTTTACTGTATTACGCCCTATCCTTGTATTCGTAATCAGAAGAAAGCCATCTCTCGTCCTCATCATCACTTGAACTACCTACCTACGCTCGTTCCCTGCTGTTGCTTGCGCTTGTTGCTTTCCTAGCTTTTTCAATTCCTTTAAATTGTTCAGATTTTGCTGTTATATTTTTAGTTGCTTTTCCTTCGATAATTAAAAGCCGTTGTGCAACTGTTGATAAGTAGAGGAAATTGTTTAAAAACGGAAATATAACATAAGCGAAACGCGCAAAAAGATATTCACGAGCAATTTTCCTAATATACTTAGGCTGGATTGCAAGATTATGATATAATTTTCTAAAATCCTTGGCGTCCGGGTGAAAACTAAGAACGTGCACTGCAAATGCATTTAGTTGAGGCTCGGCCGTTGATGTTGGGTTGGCCGTTGATGTCGGGTTGGTTGTTGGGGTTGGGTTGATGATGGGTTGGCTGTCGACGCTGGACTGGCCGTTGGTATTAGATTGACTGTTGGTCGTTGATGTTGATGATGGAGGACCCGAATAGTAGGAGAACCAACCAACAGTTTTGGTACAATAACGAGAGCGCCGCTGTTGAAGACCGTATGCAAATTGGCCATTAGCGATATTATATTACGCTTACTGTCAACCGGGAAGCTGGTGGGTTCATCGCAATATTGATCCATCTCGTTCTGATTCATCCATATATTGTGCGCCGTTGGGACTAGATGAGCTTTTACAATTCCTATCCGGAGATTTGCTAAGTAGTAGCGGTCTACTTCTTCTTCGTCTTGCTCCTCTTCTTCACTATCCGTTAGTTAAAGCTGGGTGGGGGGTTATGCTGTTGTTGCCATTCAGCCGGCAATTTGCCATGGAGAAATGACCAGTTTCAAAAGGAGGGCACTATCGGATACTGATAAAATTTGTCGCCTTGGTGCGTAGAAGTTGGATCTTGTGGAAGCTCCCTACCACGTAGTTGTAGCCAGTAGTTCCCATGTTCAAGTATACCGCGATGTGTTATAGCGTGTTCTTTGCCGTACACATCTTTGCTTAAGTAGACCTGGTCGAAAGCGTTGTTGGTAATAATACCGCATGCAGTTATAATAGTCCCATAATAAGCTCCCCAGATCCCCTCCCGGCTCGACGGTTCGTCGACATGGTCAAGGGCGGCGAATTGAAAACGGAGGTCCTCGGAGCCTCTATATTAGCTATATCCGGGGTGTCGTATGCGGATTCGTCGCTTAGATCTAGGATGGACCAGCGCTCGGAGCGGTCGCTTAAGAGGAACGTCGGTAGGGACGTTTTCCATTGCAGAATAAGTACACATAGGAAAAAGTATTGTTGAGGAGCTGACGTTGTTGGTCAAAGATTATGATGATGAAAAAGGGTGTTGTAGGAGCAACCGGGTTTTGTTTGTATACTGAGCTTAAGGCAGGCCGCGCAAGAGCCACCCGCCGCCCTCCGGTCAAGGTGGGCCCTAGCCACCTGACTAGGTAACAATTGGGTCAGCCGAGCCTAAGCAAGCAAAGGCGGCGGGCACGCTAAGAGGCGTGTCGCCGAGCCTGAATCTTGTCGGTGCACCGGCTTGCTAGGCCCCAGTCAAACCTGGCCGCTCAGCCACTCACACTCACCACACACTGGAACCAGCAAGCTTCCCAAGTCACTTCATTCATCAAATGTCCAGGCAGTGACCAACACCAAACCTCCCAACAACTCTCCCGGCACCGCCATTCCACTTCCGCTGCAACGACACGCCATCGCCGTCTGAGCACCTCGCCTTGTCGCCTCATATTTCCGCAGCGCCCTCTCTGACGTCCGACGTCCGACGTCCGACGTACACCAAGCTCCTTTCCGCCCCGATAAGATACGCCGTGCCCCCCCATCGGCCTCCTTTGTCTC